GCTTGCTAAGAAAGTCTATAAGGTCCCTTAAACTACAATACAACAACAACGCGACAGAACACGCTCTTAACATAATTGCAAGCTAAAATTAAAACACCTTACAAAGCTAGAAGAGGAGGCAATTATACAGCGTATACTTGAAGAGAGTTTATGTAGAATACCGCCCTCAAAGGTGCACGTACGAGATATGGCTGATAGACTGCTGAGAGAGCGTGGTGGGAAGCCTACAGGCAAGAACTGGGTTGATAACTTCATTAAGCGTACACCAGAGCTGCAAACGCGATGGAGCCGTCCGTATGATTGCCAGCGAGCTGCCTGCGAGGACCCAGCGATTATCCAGCCATAGTTCAGCCTAGTTTAATCAACAAAGGCGAAGTATAGTATTATAGATAAGGACACCTAGAACTTTAATAAGTCTAGCTTTATAATAGGCAAGATATCCTCTTAGCTTGTTATTACAGGCTTAGAGAAACCTAGGAAATAGAAGAAACTACAACCTAGTAATTGCAAGTAGGTTACCCTAGTATAAGGTGTTGCTGTAATAGGGTATATAATCCTACCCTTCCTTATCTTTGCAGGCAAGGTCCTTATCTCCTCCTAGTTTACTAGTCTACCTTACAACTAGGTTGTCACAGTCTCTCCTACTAGCTAGACTAATAACAACGTCGCGCTGGCGTGGCTTAAGCATTTCGACGTCTATACAAAGGCGTCCTCTGCTAGGGCGTATAGGCTGCTCATTATTAACGGTCATGAGAGCCACTGCTCGATAGAATTCCAGGACTACTGCAAGGAGAACAAGATTATTCCTCTCTGCATGCCACCACACTCATCACACATCCTGCAGCCTCTTGACGTTGTCCCCTACTTGCTGTTAAAGCGCCACTACAGCAACAGGATCTCGCTCTTAGCACGCAGCCACATCCACTATATTAACAAAGAAACCTTCCTCCTAGCCTTTAAAGCAGCTTTTAAGAAGACGTTTACATTAGAGAACATTCGCGCAGGGTTTTAAGGCGCTAGACTAGTCCTGCATGACCCTGAGGTTGTGTTATTGAAGCTTGATGTACAGCTGCGCACGCTAACGCCACCTGCACCAGGCACTGTCGCCTAGGAGGCGCAAACACCGCGCAACGCCTGCGAGATAGAGGCGCAATCCACGCTGATTTGAAATTGTATACAAAACTATCAGGGGTCTCTAGCAAGTTTATTAGATGAGCAGGTTAAGCAGCTAAGTAAAGGCGCTTAGCAGATAGCTTATAATATAGTGTTAGTGCAGGAGGAAATAGGCCACCTTTAAGACGCTGTTAACACGCTTACAAAGCGCAAGACCTGTAAGAGGCAGTATGTACGCGCAGAGGAGACCCTAATAGTTAGTAAGGTATCTAACTTAATTGCTAAAAAGGAGGGTAGTAGTTGTGAGGACAGCAAGACGCCTGCGAAGAGGGTGCGCGCAGAGAGGCGCTGCGGCTGTTGCAGCGAGATTGGGCATAACTCCCGCACCTGCAAGGTAGAAATAGAGGATATAGATGATAGCGATGCTTATGAATAATATTATCCTGTTACGTATATTATAGGAATTTGTGATGGTGTTGCACTACGTCGCGGTGCGTGCGCTGCGCTGGAGAAAGTGCGCCGCTCGCTTGGGTGCGCCGCTCGCTTGTGAAGCACGTTATACTTAACCTTAATTCGCGAGGATTTGCGCCCTAGCTATGTGAGGTGGCAGATATAGCTAATAAGATACTTAGTGTGCGTAGTGAAGAGCCTGTTAGCAAACTATAGGCTAGCAGGCTTGTGACGCGTTTAGACAAGCTTAAAATAGCCTTTAATTAAGCTAAGGATAAACAGAGGATACTACAGGAAGATCCTAAGATAATTAGCGCGTAGTTTAAGCTAGTAGAGGATACTTAAGTTAAGTATAGCATTTATAACAACAACATACACAACTTTAATAAAACTAGGTTCTAGATAGGCGTTGCTTTGTCTTTAAAGGTTGTAACAGGCTTAGAGAGACGTGCTCGGCCAGAGCTTGTTCAGCCAGGTGATCGCGAGTGGGTTACCGTTATCCAGAGCATCTGCGCCGCTAGGTATGCAACCCCACCTTTCATCATCTACAAAGGACGCGTCCACATCTCTGCCTAGTATAAGGAGACAGATATACCCTATAATTAGAAGCTCTTAGTCTCTAAGAATAGTTAGACAAACAACACACTTAGCCTTAAGTAGTTAAAGCACTTTAACACACATACAAAGACGTGTTAGGTAGGAGTGTATAGGTTGCTTATCTTAGACAGCTATACAAGCTATCTTAACTAGGAGTTTAAGGACTATTACCTAGAGAACTAAATCCTTACTCTCTATATACTACCTTACTTATTATACATCCTCTAGCTACTTAATATAGTCTATTTCTTGCTATTAAAGTGTAAGTACTCCTAATATATTTAAGACTTAGCACGCTAATATATCTTCTATATTAATAAGGAAGGCTTCCTACTAGCCTTTAGGGACATGTTCCTTAATGTGTTTACAAAGGTTAACTGCTAAAAGGCCTTTAAGGCATTAGGGCTTGTTCCTACTAACATGCAGGTAGTGTTAGATCGCCTTAAAGTGCAGCTGCATACCCTACTAGCAGTACCTCTACCTAAAACGCTGTGGCAATCTAAGACACTAAGCAATACACACGAGTTTAGGTCTTAATCTAAGCTTGTAAGTGACTCCTTCTAACAATTGCTAAGTGCAGCGCAAGAGGGGTTCTCAAAGCTTGTAAAAGGGGCTAAAGAGATGCTACATGAAAACGTCCTTATCAAGGCCTGCGTGCAAGAGCTTGAAGAGTAATTAGCAGTAATAACTAAGAGAAAATCGCGTAAGAGAAAGCAGATTCAGCATGGTGGCACACTTGAGTATGGCCCAGCAGCATCACGGGTAGCTGCTAAGGCGTGTGTAGCAGCTCAGCCATCTAAGAAGACTTAGGGTGGAGGTGGTCAACTAGGAGCTCAGTCAACTGTTTAGCGCTGTGGGAACTGCAGCAAAACTAGACACAACGCACAAACGTGCTAGGAGGGTGCAGAAATATCTTCTAAATCTAATGTAAGCACGCAGTATGCTAGGTCACTATTTAATAGCAAGTAGTTGTAGTTGCAGTAACTTGTGTTAGTTGTGCTAAGAGAAAATGGCTGGTTCAGTGATATGGCTGGCTCGGTGATAATCTACGTTAGCTATAATGTACTTCACGGGGGAGCGGATCACACGGGCGAGCGGATCACTCTGCCAAGACCACACCAAACTTCTACCCCATTATGGCTTGCATTGGCCCACATTAGCCTTGTATACAGTAGTACAGCACATAACAACGTACTCCACGGGTGAGTCGTTTATACGGGTGAGTCGTTCATACTGCCAAGACCACACCAAACCTCCACCCTATTATGGCTCGCATTGGCCTACTTTGGCCTTGTATATACTGGTACAGCATGTAATATTATTTAGCAACAGCTTCTACAGGCTTTTTACACGTGCGCAA